GATGTAGGCGCGAAGTCCGCCTACGCACAGGCGTGCGCCTGTGCACAAGCGCTTCGGCGTCGGCAGGAAATCCGCCTTGGGCCCTAGAAATGCGCCTTGTGAGGTAGAAATTGTATGGCGCCTTCTGCGCCAGCGCAACAGCGCGGACGAGCAAGGAGCCGTCAGAATAGTAAAATCCGTACGGACCGTACGGACTGTACGGACGGGACGGATGGATGCGCTCTTGGACGGACGGAGTTGCGGCGGCGAGAGCGCCGACGGAGCGACAAGGAACGGACAGTCTAGACGGAGTCGTTGACCGCGGTCAACGCCTTCCGCGCCAGCGCATCGACGCGGACGGACTTCGCCTGCGCACAAGCGAGCGCCTGCGCACAGGCAGGTGGAGTTCCGCGCCGGCGGAGAATCCGCCGAGGAGTCCGCCTGCGCACAGGCGGGAGTTGAACTTTTGTCCGACATGCGGACACACGTGCCGAGGCAGAGGAGGATTGGCTGAGGAGCGGTACGAACGAGTCTACCGCGCAAGGCGGAAAATTCGCCTTCGGCGCTGCGCACCCGTGTCCGCGGCGTAGTATGCCCGCGGAGTTCAAATTCGCCAATTTGAGCGTGAGAGTTAAATCGGCGTCGGCGGAGCGTGAAGCCGCGCGTGAGAGCGGAGACCGTTTTAGCGTAGAGCCGGCGCGGCCATCAATGTGCCGGCATCCTAGGGCACCTCCTCTTTGATAGTGAGAGCGTCAAGGTGTCCAAGCAGGAAGAGGCGCAATTTGTGGAGCTGTTCAAGAAAGGGAAGTCTACCAAGAATGGGTACAAGACCTGCGATTACAAGGATCGATTCCGCCGAACTTTGGCTACGGCGCTGCTGCAATTACTTCAGCCACACCGCGCGTGCTACATCACATTGTGGCAGGTCTCTTTTGTGGAGTGCATCATCGAGGGAACTCCAATTCACTGGGCGAGCATCCTGCACAGGGTGATGCGTCAGCACGCTTTTGAGGAGAAGGGGGGAACTCTAAATCATCTCTCTCCTTTCCTCATCAATTTTTATCGACAGCGAAATTGTTTGACCGCGGCGGAGCTTGCTCGTTTTGCGCCGTTGTCCATCGACCATCCCGGGAGGTATGTGCGGGAGAATGAGGTCGACACTGATGCAGAGGAGTCGCCGACTTCTACTCCGTCAAGGCGGAGGGACGAAGGGAGAAATACTCCTGCAACAAGAGTGCCGCGGAAGCGGCGATGGAGAGAAGAGTCTGAAGAGGAGCAGCATCAAGAACCCACCGCTCCCATTCGACCGCGGCTATTGTACGAATCGTACAGCCGGCCGAAGCAGAAGGCGCGCAGGCTGGTGTTACCAGCCAGTAGCGCGGACACGGCGACGATTGCCATGGAGAAAGGAAGTGCGTTGCCAGAGAAGAACGAGGGAGCACGGACGTCTGCAGGAGCAACGGACCCCGCTGCACCCTCGACCGACGAGAGGCCGCCTACGGGCCAAGGGCCTCCGGAGTTATCACGTGCGTTGCGGACAGGTGTTCCGCCTGCGGACAGGCGAGCCTCGACGGACAGACGACCACAAGCGGACGTGGACCTACGCCTATGCGTGGGAAGAAGCAGTCCGCCTGTGCACAAGTCGCCTGTGCACAGGTCACCTCCACACGTGCCGCCTGTGCACAGGCAGGAATCACCCCCGTTCCAACGTAGGAAGGGGAAGGAGCCGGTGGAAGATTCGCCTACGGGACACAGGCCTTCGGGGCCAGACCCTCCGGCGCACAACGTGCCGCGATTTGCGCCTTCGGCGCCAGGGCCTTCGGGCCGAGGAGATGCGAGCAGGGAGCGTGCGGAGGCCGCACCATAAGCGGGTAATCCGCCGGTAGAAGCGCCTTCGGCGGTAGGGCCTACGGGCCAAGGGACATCGGGCGAGCGGCCCCCGGCTATGTCGCCTTTGGCGATAGACGCCTTCGGCGCTGCGCCTGCAGCGGACAAGGCGCCGGCATTCGCGCCTGTGCACAGGCCGGACACAGCCCTCGCGCAAGACCGATCGAGGGAGCAGCACCTAACAGAGGAGCGGACCGACTGTTCGCGTGACGAAATTTCGGTGCGCGATGCGCAATCAAACCCCGCGCAGACACCCTCCGCTCTATCGCCTTCGGCGGCGGACGTCGGCGGCAGAGAGGATACGATTGAAGACCGACAAGCGGGCGACGGGGATGTAGCACGGTCACATTCGCCCACCGCCTTAGACATTTTGGCAAAGAGCATCGAGGCTGCAGCAGTGCCTTCGCAGGCAGCACACGTCGACGACGTGCAGCCCCACTCGGGACAGTCGCCAACGCAATCAATGGCGACTGAAATTCTCAACACGGATGATGACGACGGAGGCTCCACCGAAGCAATGTTGGGAGCAGGGGATACCGAGGAGGAGGAGGAAATTGTTGGAGCGCCGGCGGCGGCGCTCTCTGAGCAGGTGATTCCGATGCTGAAGTACTTGGATCGCAAATTCGATAAATACGCCGATCCACTCCAGCCGGGATCTTACATCGAATTAGTGCGCAGGCGGACTCGCACTAAAGTCCAAACTAGCAAGCTACTAGCTAGGGTGGACCAGGAGTTGAAGGAATTGAAGGAGAGGCATGCCTGTTTATGGGGGCAGTACAACCTTGAGAGGAAATCGCACGCCCTCGACAAGATGCGGAAGGAGAGATTGGAAGAGCTCACCAAAGATGTGGTGCAGACCACGCAGGATTTGATGTCTGAGAAAACTCAGAATCAGATTCTGTCAGAAGAGCTCGTGCGACAGACGCGTTTGTTGGCGGAGTGTCAGCTCGCACGGCAGGCGGATGAGGATTTAATCCGCAGGCTACAGTCAGAGTGTGGCGAATTGAGAGCGCAGCGTGCGGAGGCCGAATCGCAGTTAGTGGTAATTGAAGAGGATCGCAGGCGAGAGGCAGATCGCACGAAGGAGGAGACGGCGAGGCGTGTCGCCCACTGTCTGAAGGGCTACGCCCACTGGGAAGTGGCGGCGCAGGAGAAACTCACACTGCGTGAGTTTGAACTTCGCGTAGCAGGGTTGTTGGCAGGCGACAGCAGGAGTCGGCGGAAGGTAGCGAAGAAGTTCGACGCTTTTCTGTCGAAGGCGCGGGATACCATGTCCACCCTCGAGGTGGAGGTGTTCACGGCGTTGCAGCGGTTGGGACTGCGCAGTCGAGCGGAAGACTGGCAGGGTAGGGAGTTAGTGCGCGGCAATCCGTCGCGCAGGAGACGTAGCACCGGTTCCGCGGAGTGTAGTGTAGCGTGGTTCCGTGCCGGCGTGTAGCGTAGTGGAGTGTAGTGCTAGTTAGGACTTAGAAGGTATAAAATAGTTCAAGGCGTCTTGCCTTGGGTTCTTTCCCAATTTCAGAAGTACAGATCAGGAACTCATTTTCTCTGCGTGTTTGTGTCCTTAGTTCTGTCACCACGCACAAGGAGCTACACCTTAGCGTTCCGCATTGTGTAGCTGAAGGCCTTCGGCCGAATGTTCAGAGCTAGTACATTGGTTAGAGACTTGAGTAGTTTGGATCTACACCTGCGGGTGACTGCCGATGCTTAGAGCCAGTGACTAGTTAGATACTTGAATAGTTTCGCCCCTACACCTTCGAGTGTTTGTTTCTGATTGTACTCCTTCGGGATTTTTCCCCTGAATGCCAAAGTGAAGTTTTGCTACTTCGTGTAAGCCTTGGTTGTAAATTCAGGTTACGCTGCAGCAGGTGCCTTCAGGGTAACCCCTGCAGTATTTCTGGGAATGACAAGTGGCTAAGAATTCAAACTCTTCAATAGACTGTTGTTGTGTTACTGGAATGTTTCTCAGTGAGTCCTTCAGTGCGGACCTGTGTTCTCTACGCGTTTGTGAGTTGAGAGTGTTGTTCACCGCGTATGAGTGACTTCGATCCGAAGTAGGCAGTCCAAACCGGGTTTCCTACACTAGCAGCAAGCTAGTGGAAGTGTTGTAAAAGCCGGAACTGGAAGTCACTACCCGCAGCTTCGCTGAGTGTACTCTTGAGAGACCTTCCCCATGAAATCTTGAGTAGAGGTCCTAACGGATCTCTGGGTTGTGTTTCTGTAGTTTCAGGTGTGTGTGTGTGTGTTAGTTACGCTGCACTGTGCGACCTCCGAGTGCGCTCCGAGTGAACACTTGCAGTATTTTCGGGAGTGACAGTCGCCTGAGAATTCAAACTCCTCAATAGTTTGTTAAAACGTGACACTTTGTACCCTGTGTGTTCCTCTGTCCCTGTGGGTTCGACCTTTCTACCACTATATTGCAGTTTTAGCCTTTAGTGGGTTATTACAGGCGGAAAAGTCCCCTTCGGAGCTGCGCACCCATGTCCGCGGCGTAGTACGCTCGCGGAGTTCAAATTCGCCAATTCGAGCGTGTGAGTTAAATCGGCGTCGGCGGAGCGTGAAGCCGCGCGTGAGAGCGGAGACCGTTTTAGCGTAGAGCCGGCGCGGCCATCATTTGAGTCGACCCTCACGGGCAAGAGCCGACCATGACCTTCGACCGCGAGACGGAGAGCGTCCCATTCTTGAATTCGCGATTCCATTTTCTAGTGCGAGCTGCGCGCGTCCATCTGCTAGCTGCTAAGCATTTCCGACATCGCCGCGCAGAGGATTACTTGGTGATTGAGAGAGAAGTGAGTGCGCATGATTTGGAATTGAGTGAGATTAGAGTTTGCCGAGGAAGCAAGGAGCTCGAGCGGAGCAGAAGGAGAATTAGCGAACAGGCGAATTCCAAGAACGCAATGTCGAGACTGAGCCGATTGCGGATGCTGCCGCTCCGACTTACACAGAACAGGCTACGCGCTTACGAGGAACGTCTGATAGCAAGAAAGCTCAATTTCTTGCTATGGAGATGGAACTACATTTGTGTGGATATGGTGCGCGAGTGGCTAGAACCACAGAGACCACCCTCGCGCGGATTGCGTCCGCATGTTGATCGGTGGACAGTCCAAGATTGGGCGCAGGCATTGGGGAGGTGTTGTGGTAACCCACTTTTTGTTTTTTGTCGGAACTAAAACATTTTTGAATAGTAAGTACCGCGGCAGCAGCTGTAAATAGTTATCGGTACGCGAAACCAGACTAAAAAGAGGATCGAGGACAGTCAAGGGGTTTTGGGCTTAGGCCACAGTGGGACGCTTAGGACGGAACGGGCGGTTCATGCTGCAGGATCCGCTTCGAGCACCTTCGGCGGTAGATCACTCACAACTTTCTCAATTCGTAACGTCTTGAGTTGCTTCGGGTCTTGTTGGAAAGAGCTCGCGACGCTCGTTCTAACGAGCCCAAGAACTTGTGAAACGGATGAGAGGTCACTGAGTTATGAGTGTCGGAAGTTACTGATAGGGGGGCCTTCGGCGGTAGAGCGACTTTGGCGGTACTCCTGCGGCGGAAGAACCGCCGGAAGATGCGCCTTGGGCGGTAGACGCCTTCGGTCAACGCCTTTGGCGATGCGGGAGAGTGCATTCGGCGGAAGAGTGAATCCCTCATAACTTTCTCAATTCGCAACGCCTTGACTTGGTTAGGGTCTCGTTGGAAAGAGCTCGACGCGCTGATTCTAACGAGCCCAAGAACGCCACGAACGGAGAGGAATTCCGGGAGTTATGAAGGTCGCAAGATACTCAGCTTTCCGCCTACGCACAGGCGAAGGAAGTTTTGTCCTATGCGCGGACGAAGTAAGTTCGCCTGTGCACAGGCGCTTCGGCGTCGGCGGGAAATCCGCCTTGGGCCCTAGAAATGCGCCTTGTGAGGTAGAAAGTGTACGGCGCCTTCTGCGCCAGCGCAGCGCCGCGGACGGCCAGGTCAGCGCCGTGGACGGCCAGGACAACGCCGCGGACGGACAAGTCAGCGCAGCGGACGGACAGCTCAGCGCCGCGGACGGCCAGGTCATCGCCGCGGACGGACAGCTCAGCGCCGCAGACAGCCAGGTCATCGCCGCGGACGGACTGTGGATAGGCGAACGCCTTCGGCGGAAGAGTAAAACCGACATAACTTTCTCAATTCTTAGCGGTTTGACTTGATTCGGGTCTCGTTGGAAAGAACTCGACGAGCTGGTTCCAACGAGACCAAGATCTCCTGAAACGGATAAGGCGTCAATGAGTAATGAGCGTCGAAAGCGGCTGTCATGGTTAGGCGTGAGGCCTTCGGCGTTAACAGTTAGCGGGGCCTTCGGCCCAAGGCGGCCTGCGAGTAGGCGGCTTGCGTGTAGGACGCGTGGGACCCACAGTCCTCGGATTTTGGAGAAGGAATTTTGGCCTAGGTTCAGAGATCTTGCGGGGCCCATATCTTTGCGATGGACGGTCGGATGGATCTGAAATTTTGTGGGGCCGTTGATCTCGGCCGGCCACGCATGCCTGCAAATTTTCAGCCTCAGATCTTGGATGGTAAGGCGCTGGCGGCTCTGTACAGTAGGCTTAGGATTCAGATTTAGGGTTAGGGTTAGATTTAGGTTGTAAGTTAGAGGGGAAGGCAGCCGCCGACTCCTCAGGTGTAGGATCTGTTGCGGCTCGCACCATGGTAGTGCAGTGTAGTGCTAGTTAGGACTTAGAAGGTATAAAATAGTTCCAGGCGTTTTGCCTGGGGTTCTTTCCCATCAGAAGTGCAGATCAGGAACCCATTTCCTTTGCGTGTTTGTGTCCTTGAGTTCTGTCACCACGCACGAGGAGTTACAACTTAGCGTTCCGCATTTTGTAGCTGAAGGCCTTCGGCCGAATGTTCAGAGCTAGTCCATTGGTTAGAGACTTGAGTAGTTCGGATCTGCACCTGTGGGTGACTGCCGATGCTCAGAGCCAGTGACTAGTTAGATACTTGAACAGTTTCGCCCCTACACCTTCGAGTGTTCCTTTCTGATTGTACTCCCTTGGGATTTTTCCCCTGAATGCCAAAGTGAAGTTTTGCTACTTCGTGTAAGCCTTGGTTGTAAATTCAGGTTACGCTGCAGCAGGTGCTTTGAGGGTAACCCCTGTAGTATTTCTGGGAATGACAAGTGCCTGAGAATTCAAACTCTTCAATAGACTGTTGTTGTGTTACTGGAATGTTTCACAGTGAGTCCTTCAGTGCGGACCTGTGTTCTCTGCGCGTTTTGTGAGTTGAGAGTGTTGTTCACCGCGTATGAGTGACTTCGATCCGAAGTAGAGGCAGTCCAAACCGGGTTTCCTACGCTAGCAGCAAGCTAGTGGAAGCGTTGTAAAAGCCGGAGTTGGAAGTCACTACCCGCAGCTTCGCTGAGTGTACTCTTGAGAGACTTCCCCCCTGAAATCTTGAGTAGAGGTCCTAACGGATCTCTGGGTTGTGTTTCTGTAGTTTCAGGTGTGTGTGTGTGTGTGTGTGTGTGTGTGTACGCTGCACTGTGCGACCTCCGAGTGCGCTCCGAGTGGACACTTGCAGTATTTCTGGGAGTGACAGTCGCCTGAGAATTCAAACTCATCAATAGTCTGTTAAACGTGACACTTTGTACCCTGTGTGTTCCTCTGTCCCTGTGGGTTCGACCTTTCTACCACTATATTGCAGTTTTAGCCTTGAGTGGGTTATTACAGGTGTGCCGGCATCCCAGGGCACCTCCTCTTTGATAGTGAGAGCGTCAAGGTGTCAAAGCAGGACGAGGTGCAATTTGTGGAGTTGTTCAAGCGGGAGAAGTCTACCAAGAATGGGTACAAGACCCGCGATTACAAGGATCGCTTCCGCCGAACTGTGGCTACGGCGCTGCTGCAATTACTGCAGCCACACCGCGCCTGCTACATCACATTGTGGCAGGTCTCTTTTGTGGAGTGCATCATCGAGGGAGCTCCAATTCACTAGGCGAGCATACTACATAGAGTGATGCGACATCACGCTTTTGAGGAGAAGGGGGGAACTCTAAATCATCTCTCTCCTTTCCTAATCAATTTTTATCGGCAGCAAAATTGTTTGACCGCGGCGGAGCTTGCTTGTTTTCCGCCGTTGTCCGTCGACCATCCCGGGAGGTATGTGCGGGAGAACGAGGTCGACACTGACGCAGAGGAGTCGCCAACTTCTACTCCGCCAAGACGGAGGGACGAAGGGAGAAATACTCCTGCAGCAAGAGTGCCGCGGAAGCGGCGATGGAGAGAGGAGTCCGAAGAGGAGCAGCATCAAGAACCCACTGCTCCCATTCGGCAACGGCCGTTGCACGAAGTGTGCAGCCGGCCAAAGCAGAAGGCGCGCCGGCTTGTGTTACCAGCCAGCAGCGCGGACACGGCGACGATTGCCACGGAGAAAGGAAGTGCGTCGCCGGAGAAGAACGAGGGAGCGCGGACGTCTGCATGAGCAACGGACCACGGCCTACGGGCCAAGGGCCTCCGGAATTACCACGTGCGTTGCGGACGGGTGTTCCGCCTGCGCACAGGCGAGCCTCGACGGAAAGGCGACCACAAGCGGACGTGGACCTACGCCTACGCATAGGAAGGGGCAGTCCGCCTGTGCACATGCCGCCTGCGCACAGGCAGGATTCACTCCCGTTCTAATGTAGGAAGGGGAAGGAGCCGGCGGAAGATCCGCCTACGGGACACGGGCCTTCGGGACAAGACCCTCCGGCGCCCAACGCGCCGCGATTTGCGCCTTCGGCGCCAGGGCCTTCGGGCCAACGAGATGCAAACAGGGAGCGTGCGGAGGCCACACCATCGGCGGGTAGTCCGCCGGTAGATGCGCCTTCGGCGATAAGGCCTACAGGCCAAGGGACATCGGGCGAGCGGCCTCCGGCTATGTCGCCTTCGGCGCTGCGCCTGCGGCGGACAAGGCGCCGGCATTTGCGCCTGCGCACAGGCCAGGCACAGCCCTCGCGCAGGACCGATCGAGGGAGCAGGACCTGACGGGGGAGCGGATTGACTGTTCGCGGGACGAAATTTTGGTGCGCGATGCGTACTCAAACCCCGCGCCGACACCCTCCGCTCGATCGCCTTCGGCGGCGGACGTCGGCGGCAGAGAGGATACGGTCGAAGACCGACAAGCGGGCGACGGGGATGTAGCACGGCCACATTCGCCCACCGCCTTGAACATTTTGGCGAAGAGCAGCGAGGCTGCAGCTGTGCCTTCGCAGGCAGCACCCGTAGACGACGTGCAGCCCCACTCGGGTCAGTCGCCAACGCAATCAATGGCGACTGAAATCTTTAACTCGGATGATGACGACGGAGGCTCCACAGAAGCAATGTCGGGAGCAGGGGATACCGAGGAGGAGGAGGAGGAAATTGTTGGAGCGCCGGCGGCGGCGCTCTCTGAGCAGGTGATACCGTTGCTGAAGTACTTGGATCGCAAATTTGATAAATACGCAGATCCACTCCAGCCGGGGTCATACATCGAGTTAGTGCGCAGGCGGACTCGCACTAAAGTCCACACCAGCAAGCTACTAGCTAGGGTAGATCGGGAACTTAAGGATTTACGGGAGAAGCATGCGTGTTTGTGGGGGCAGTATAATCTCGTGCGGAAGTCGCACACCCACTACAACGCATTGAAGCAGGCGAGACTGGAAGAGCTCACCAGGGATGTGGTGAAGACCACGGAAGAACTGATTTCTGAGAAGACTTAGAATCAGGTTCGGTCAGAGGAGCTCGTGCGACAGACGCGGTTGTTGGCGGAGTGTAAGCTCGCACGATAGGCAAATGAGGATTTAATCCGCAGGCTGCAGTCGGAGTGCGGGGAATTGAGAGCTCAGCGTGCGGAGGCCGAATCGCAGTTGGTGGTAATTGAAGATGATCGCAGGGGAGAGGCAGATCGCACGAAGTAGGAGATGGCGAAGCGAGTCGCCCACTGTCTCAAGGGCTACGCCCACTGGGAAGTGGCGGCGCAGGAGAAACTCACACTGTGTGAGTTGGAGCTTCGTGCAGCCGGGTTGTTGTCAGGTGAAAGTAGGAGTCGGCGGCGGGTGGCGAAGAAGTTAGATTCTTTTCTGTCGAAGGCGCGGGATACCATATCCACCCTCGAGGCGGAGGTGTCCGCGGCGTTGCAGCGTTTGGGACTGCGCAGTCGAGCTGAAGACTGGCAGGGTAGGGAGTTAGTGCGCGGCAGCCCGTCGCGAAGGAGGCGAAGCACAGGTTCCGCGGAGTGTAGTGTAGCGTGGTTCCGTGCCGGCGTGTAGCGTAGTGCAGTGTAGTGCTAGTTAGGACTTAGAAGGTATAAAGTAATTCAAGGCGTCTTGCCTTGTGATCTTTCCCAACATCAGAAGTGCAGATCAGGAACTCATTTTCTCTGCGTGTTTGTGTCCTTAGTTCTGTCACCACGCACGAGGAGCTACACCTTAGCGATCCGCATTGTGTAGCTGAAGGCCTTCGGCCGAATGTTCAGAGCTAGTACATTGGTTAGAGACTTGAGTAGTTTGGATCTACACCTGCGGGTGATTGCCGATGCTCACAGCCAGTGACTAGTTAGATACTTGAATAGTTTCGCCCCTACACCTTCGAGTGTTTGTTCCTGATTGTACTCCTTCGGGATTTTTCCCCTGAATGCCAAAGTGAAGTTTTGCTACTTCGTGTAAGCCTTGGTTGTAAATTCAGGTTACGCTGCAGCAGGTGCCTGTGAGGTAACCCCTGTAGTATTTCTAGGAATGACAAGTGCCTAAGAATTCAAACTCTTCAATAGACTGTTATGGTGTGGTACTGGAATGTTTCTCAGTGAGTCCTTCTGTGCGGACCTATGTTCTCTGCGCGTTTTGTGAGTTGAGAGTGTTGTTCACCGCGTATGAGTGACTTCGATTCGAAGTAGGTAGTCCAAACCGGGTTTCCTACGCTAGCAGCAAGCTAGTGGAAGTGTTGTAAAAGCCGGAGTTGGGAGTCACTACCCGCAGCTTCGCTGAGGGTACTCTTGAGAGACCTTTCCCCTGAAATCTTGAGTAGAGGTCCTAAAGGTCAAAAGGGCCTTCGGGCCAAGGGACATCGGGCAAGCCGCCTTCGGCTCAACCGCCCTCGGTGGAAGCGCCGCCGGGAGTTGCGCCTACGCATAGGCCGAACGCATCTCTGGCGCAGGACCTAATGGTGGAGCGAGACCGATCGAAGGAGCGGGACCTAACACAGGAGCGGATTGACTGTCCGCACGGTGAAATTCGTGCGCGCGATGCACAATTGCACTTCGCGCAGGTACATTCCGCACGACCGCCTTCGGCGGTAGACGCCTGCAGCGAGGAGGTTACAGTCGCAGCTGGGCAGGCGGCAGGGTTTGACAGGCATGGCTCAGAACCACCGGGTGACCCCGGAAATGCGCCACAAAACGTCCGGGGCTACGCCCCGACGTTCTGACTAGAGCATTCTTGATTTCTCGGGGTTGCCCGGATATTTTCGGAAAAAAATTCCGGGTGTTCTTAGTGGATTGAAAGCTATTGAGTCCGCTATTTTCGTGTGAATGCTCCCAAAAAATTTTCAATAAAATGACATTTACAACGGGTGTCCCCAGGTTTAACCCTTAAAATCCTCCGGGTGTAGCCCCCTCTTAGCAAGAGTGCACCAGCGGATTCCTCCGGTTGTCCCCCTGTTTCACCCCCTGTTCCGGAAGTAAGTTATCTATTCCCGGGGGATTCCCGGGCGATGTGAATTCGGCACGACCGCATTCATCCACCGCCTTGGACATTCTAGCAGGGAGCAGCAAGGCTGCAGGAGCGCCAGTGGCGGCAGAAGACGCAGA